CCCCGTTCACTGCAGAGCGCCCTAACCCCGTTCACTGCGGCGCGCCCTAACCTCGTTCACTGCAGCGCGCCCTAACCCCGTTCACTGCAGCCCGCCCCAACCCCCGTTCACTGCAGAGCGCCCTAACCCCGTTCACTGCGGCGCGCCCTAACCCCGTTCACTGCAGCGCGCCCTAACCTCGTTCACTGCAGCTCAGTGTAACGCCAGTTACTACAGATTCAGCAGACATATGTAATTATTGATACGTACTGTATCTGCTGAATCAGTTATTTAAAAATCCAAAAGGGGAATATTAACCAAATTATTTTTTTATAGTGGAGAGACACATTTGAGCCCAAAACAGAACTTTGGAGAATTTTGAAGGTGGAACTAACTGACCTGACAACAATTGTTCAGAGTAAACAGATTCAGATATCAATAGAACATGTAAACAACTAATTATATTGTGAAAAATGTCTAATGAAATGTTACAAATCAGGACTTAATAAAAATATTCTCAGGGTTTTTTTTAGGTCTTAGTTATAATTATTTTGTTAATTATTAGATGAGACTTTTACCAACTGTTCTGTCATGACCTTTGACCTTCAACCTGCCAACTAAGATGAAGCTCTTGGGTTTTTTCACTCTGAGCTCCATCCTTCAGAGTAAAGGGCAGCAAAAGTTGCTTCTCTAAGGTCATTGCTGATGTCTTTCCACCTTGAATTAATGTGAACACGCCTACATGCTCCGAGCATCAGTTTGTTCTGGTTAAAAACATTGACACAATGTTTTATTGTTCATATGACGTATTTATTTCAAACAACCAGTCAGTCTTACAGTATTATGTCACTATACATGAAACTTCAGTAACATGTTGCATTAATTTTGTCTTATCTGTCCAAAATCATATAAAAAGTTTAATGAGTTCACAAAAAAGGATTAAAGCCCGTCAGTACTGTTGCATGATGGGACTTTTTTCAACTCAAATACTGATGAATGAATGCTAACAAGACAAGAAAGTTTATGGAAAAAGCAACAAATTATTTGATACATAACTAAACCATTTTAAGACCTAAAAAGAAAAATCTGGACAAGTTTTAATGATCAAGTTAGAAACTTTAAGACGCTGCAGAAACCCTGTTATAGTTGTAACAAAACAACTGCTTAAAGAGCTAAAAATCTGGATTTTAGGTGAATATTTTCTTGAATATAAGCTGAATTTGTCTGATCTGCGATGTCAACCAATGTGGGCTTCACTAGTATATTTAAGAACTCTTATTAGTACATAACTGTTAATGGTGTACCACAAGGTTCAGTCTTAGGACCCTCCCCTCTTCACAATATGCATCATGCATGTATGATGTAAACTGCTACTGCATCATGCACAAGCAAACATTTGCCAATTAAAATCCGCTATAACCTGGAGATTATTTAGCAGAATGCTTTAAAACAAAATGTTTTCTGCATCACACCAGAAATGTATATTTGCATGGGAGGATAAAAAAATAACAATCAATGCAAATCATAATGTTTTTATTATCTGTGCATAATATAGACCACTGTTAACTGGGATCGTGCAACCCCTCGTTGTGTGCGCGCGCGCGTGGGACGCTCACCTGCAGCACCAGGAGCTCGGCCCGCTGAACGGGGGGCATGGAGCTGCTCCTCAGCCCGGACCCTGCTGCTCTTTGTCGCCGCTCAGAGATGCTGAAGAGGCGGAAGGAAAACGATGTGTCCGCGGGCTGCACGCCACCAGAGCCCGTCCACACGGAGCCACGCAGACATGAGAAACAAAACCGCGTCTCGACCGTGACAGCAGCTGCAGCGGCCTGGACTCGTCGCGGAGGGATGTTGTTTTTTTCCTCTCTCCGGTCGCGCGCGCCTGATGCGACACGAAAGCTCGAGCGGCTACCGGCGCTCCGGTCTCGGGGAAAAACGCGACTTAACCGAGGACGAATTCATCGCACGGCCGGCGGTGAAAGAGTGGACAACATGGGGGGGGAATAACAGTAAAAATATAAAATACAGGGGTCGGGGGTAAAAAGGAGGAGGCGGTGATGCTGGACGAGCTGAACCGACAGAAGGACCACCGTCAAGCTAACGTGGATAAGCGGCTAACTTCCGGTTTTTATTTCCAAAATAAACTAGCGTCGGCCATTTTGGCTCCTTGATAACGCTGTCGAATAAAAAGACTGTTGGGAATAAACCATAAAAGTTTGCATAATTTAAGATGCATTCAGATCAATTAGCAATTTTCCTATTTGCGTACTTTTCATTCTACCGGTATTTTGTATAGAAAATTTAAACTACGGTGGCCTGGAGGTGAAACTACCCTTTTTCGTGTTGAGGACAACCATTTTCTACGTATTTGTGGTTTGATACTAACGCTGAAAAAAACTTACACTTGAACAAAAACTACTCACGCCTGCGTGTCTGGAGTCGGACGCTTCGCTTTTTCGTAAATCGCCCAACTGTGCCGGACTTCCGGCGGCGACTCGCCAACTTGACGCCGCTGGAGGAAAACGGTGACGTAGGACGCGGAGCGCTGCGCCGCACGCGCTGATGCTGCAGTTGCTAGGGGCGCGAGGAGCAGACAGACAAGAGGCAAACAATGCAGGGGAGGAAAATGTCTCCCTCCTGTGTCGAGTTTTACGACCAATTTCGAGCTAATTAGAAGAGAGGACTGTGATGAACCCCAAATATTCGACTTAAACCCCAATTTATCGACTTTAAGAAAGAAACTGGACGGTTCTGGTGGCGGGTTCTGCTGTAGACACAATCATGGCTGGATATCTTGTGCTCAGGATCCTATTAAATTGTTCTGTGTGCCTTCCAAATACAATTTATGTTTATGGACAAATTTAATAATTTTTTTAGTAGTTGCTGCAATGTCATGAAGACCAAATGACAAAAAAAAAAGCTGTAACGCTATATAAATGGTAACTGTCCTTAAATTAAAAAGAAAAAAGAGCTACTTACCACGTGTTTGTTTTTCTACAAAAACAATTGAAATGACCAAAAATAACTCAGTGATGACGGCCATGGAAGAGTTGGGGAGCAAAGAGTTCAACAATTCTGACTTGTTTGCACATTTGTACGCTCAGATTTGTTAAATTATGCGGAAAACGTCTTGTTTACGTTGAGCGCATACCCACATTCTAGAACCACATAGTGATAAATCTGGAAAACTAACTCTTTAAAACTGCCCTAATTATTATAGCTAGGGAAAAACCTTTTGAGGTTTAGTCTGCACCAAATACTTTTTTGATGTTGGTGCGTATATTTTCGCATTAACGCATTTTAACAAAAGATAAAATACAGTAGTCCCTTGCTACTTTGACTTCTGCGGACTCGCTCTTTCGCGCTTTTTCAACGATTGTCAACGTTAACATTACTCACGTGATTGGGACGGTACGGGATAAAAAGTTAGCGGGGGGAAAAAAAAATACTTCGAACTGGCGCCGCCATTTTGTAGTTTTCTTTCAACTAGCCTACACTGCAACACCAGTCAAAAGAACTACACTACCCAGAAGCCAACAGGCTTCCGGCTTTTGCTTTCTGCCATAAAGGAGGGAAAGTTTTGCAACTATCTATGAAGCTCACAGAATTGGCGGGAAAGTTGCAAATAATCTTGAAGCTCAATTATCATGCGCACATCAACCTGGACGAGGTGTTGGGCTTCATCGCTGCAGGGTAGGTCTACAGAACCGGAGCAGAGCGTACTGTAAAGTACGTACAGTAGTCCCTCACTACTTCGCAATTCGACTTTCGCAGACTTGCTCTATCGCGATTTTTTCAAGTACGATTGAACACGAGACAAAAAAAAAAAAATAATTGTACAGGACACGATAGTCAAATTTAATATTACTCACTTGATTGGGACAGTACTGGATACTGTAAAGTTTTTTTTTTTTTTTTTTACTGTAAAGTATTTTTTACTGTAAAAAGGAAACGAAAAAATACTTCCGACAGGTGCTGCCATTTTGTATCCCCGCTCAGAAGCCCTGTTGCCGTCTGCTGAAAAACCGTACAAGAGGTAAAGTTTTGATCTGATCGGAGAAAGTTAGTGACTTCGGTACCCAGCGGATGCGAAGAGCCGCACGGAACCCACCGAACCGGACTAGAACCAGAACTCCAGACCCATGAGGACATCAGAGCAGGACGTGCACTGCAGAAGGCCCGGCGCGCCATCCGGAGCCCACCGCCACCACCCAGAGCGCTGAGCAGAACCGGCAGGGTAAGTCCGCCGAAACGGAAACAAGTCGGAGCGGAACTGAGCCACTGCTGTTTTGCAGAGCCTGGTAAAATTTAGTAGCTACATATACAGTACTGTACGTATGTTGTTAAAATGATGTGGGTTTAAGAGTTCAGAACATTGCAAGAACGTGGGATTAATAAAGCCTTAAAATATATATAAATACTAAAACTACTAAATACTCCACTTGTCGCGGGGGGGTGTGGAACGTAACTCCCTTGATAATCGAGGGACTACTGTATAGAAGTCCAGACTTTCAGGCGTCGCCTTGTATGGGATACATGCGAAAGATGGAAAAAGCCTTGAAACTTCTATTCAGTGTACTTTCGTAAGATTTAAAACCTTTGACGCCACCTTTTTCTAACTTCATCCCCAATTAAGATAGTCGACACCATAAATACTCAATTATTTCATATATTTATTGATATTTTCTGCCATAATGAGGTGAAAATGTTTACAGAAACTGTACCGAGCAGACGCATAGCAATGGAATCGAAGGTCGTGTCCACTGAATGCACAAGAGCTCCATAAAAATTATGCAAATATTAATGCAATACACGTTTTTTTTGTTTTTTTTAATACAAAGTACAGATTACAAAAACATAAATGAGATCTCGCCATGTGCCCTGGAGCAGCTCTGACAAAACGGAATAAGAACGATGTTTTAGCACACATGTACAGCGCTACGCCTAGACTTTCTCGAAGTCCAACGACGTATAAAGAAAAAAACACGTACATACATACGGGTGACTCAGTCGCTCGGACGTCACGGGATGAAGGTGAGAAGCAGAAATAATATCCAGCGTGCTTCAGAGTTTTTATTTCTCCTTTTCTTTTTAAAGTTTGATGATGGATACAAAGTGTTTTGTAGTGTTCCGTCCACAGTGAGGTGCAGCCGCTGTAACAGATCGCTCCGTACGGGATTCGGGTGATTGTAGCGATAAAAACCCGGCTCAGTTTGTTGCGATGCAGCGCGAGCCGAGATAATCCACCAACCAGGAACGGATCAAGTGTTCGTGTCCCCCCTAAAGACGGCCCGGAGTCGAAGGAGAGGATTGTCGTCCGTATTCTTCTCTCGGGAGGTGAAGAAGTGTTTTACGAAAACGATTGTGACAGTTAAGTGCAACGAAGATTAACAAAAGCTAAAGATAAAAAAAAAAGCTTAAAAAAAAAAACCTACATCCTATTGCACAATTTAAAAAGTATGATACATTAAAAAAAGGATACATGTTCAAGACAATGGTATTGCATACAAATCAAGGATCAAAACAATAAAAAGTAGCTTGTTCTGTCTTTAAGACGTTATTTGTTTACAGAGCTCGGTCTCGCTCTTAGTGTTGATTGTTTTTAATCGCCTTTTTTTTTTTTTTAAAGTTTAGAGACCACTTTTTGTTACGGTCGCAACAGACGGGACTTGGAAACACTGATTCGAATGGGTTCAAAGTGCACGTAAGAAGTAAAAAAAACAAACATTTCTAAGCTCACGATGAAACGAACAGATTAAGAAAAACGAAGAAGAAGAAGCTGCATAGCTGGATTCCATTTAAAGCAATGCCGGGAGGGACGGACCTAATCGCTGTACACATCAGAACCGACGGGCGAGGGGTTTCTGTCTGGTCCGGTTCACACCTGCGTGTCGCCGCCCCCGCCCTGCAGATAGATGGCCGAGCTGGACTTGGGTCCGTTCTGATTGTGAGCCCGGGTGGACCCGTTGTTGTTGTTGACTTCGGGCCCCCGGGCGTCCGTGGAGATGACCCACGTGGTGGGTCGCCACTTCTTCAGGGAGTACGGCGTTTTCACCCGCTTCTTGATTTTATCCGCTGTCCCCAAGGCTCCGTCAGGCGGCGCCACGCCCCCCCCTGCAAACGAAACGGCTTTAGTTGTTCAGGCAACAAAGAGTCACAGTTTATGACACGTTCTATATTATTACTGTGTGAATTATGAAGCATTCGCATTATGTGAACCATTTTTCTTCCGTACATTTTTTCGGCGCGATTCAACAAATCATATGAAAACGTTCAGCTCTTTCAGGACAATCCTGCCATGACGTTTGGTATTGGTTCAACTTTAGCTTTGTGAAATATTTAGCCTTTTCTGACACTTATTTTCCTCATAGAAAATTAAATGAGCTCATTTTACCTCTTTCAAATCTTTAGATCTGTTTACAACCTTTTTACTGCTCCTTTCATTTTGTTCTGCTTCAGCTAATTTCAGCTAATTTCAGCTAATTTCAGCCCCTTTCAGATTATTTCTGCCAACTACAACATTTTTGTGCTTCTTCTAACTTCTTTATGTGAATTTCAGCTAGTTGTACTCCGTTCAACTTATGTATGCAAGTTTCCGCTTTATCTGCTATTTCAGCTACTATTTAGCAGTTTTTAAGCTAGTTTTAGCCTTCTCAGCTAATTTCACATTTCTTTAAACTTTTTTCTGCCTAATTCAGCAAAAATGTGCTTTAGCTTCTTTCTGATGTTAGCTACTATTCAGTTTTTTTGTTTTGTTTTTTTGGCTTATTCAAGCTTTTTTTCAGATAACTTCCATTTTTTTTAGCTAATTTTTGCATCTTTCAGCATAACTGGGCAAACGTGTTCTTTCTGCTCTCTTCTGCTAATTTAAGCTTGGGCTACCTTTTCAGCAACCTTTTTTAAAATTATTTTAGCTTTTTTTTTAAGCTAATTTCAGCTGCTTTCAGGTAAATTCAAGTTTTTCATGGTAATTTCTTCTGCTTTCAGCTTAATTATCTTCTTTCTGCAAGTTTCAGCTTTTTCTACTATTTAGTTGTTTTTATGCTATTTATAGCTTTTTCAGCCAATTCCACTTTTTTTTAGCTCATTTCAGCTGTATCTGTTTCATTCTGGTAGTTTCTTCCTGCCTTTTCAGCTATAAGCTTTTTTTTTTTGGGCTCATTTCCAGATTTTTGTGCCAATTTCTGCTTATTTAATCATAATTCAGCAAATCTGTGTTTCTTCTGCTATTTTAGGCTTGCTCTTCTATTTCAGCATGTTTGTTAAAGATGCTGTGCTAATATTTGAAGTGATAGGAGCTGAAAGTCCTCCGCAGGATTGTGAAGTTTTGGGGATTCTCAAAGTTGGAAACTTTCTGTGGGACTTCATGAGAATAAACAGGAATAAAACCTAGAATTTTAAATTATTGAAGGTTGGACCGGAACAGGGACTTTAAATATATTTAAGATAATTATCGACTAAAACGGGCAGTGAGAGGTACCACGCCCTAAAAGTTGATAAACCTGGACAAGTAGGCTCAGAAGGAAATAGTATTTATTCAGATTTGTTTTGATGAAGATTAGAGCTGGGCGATATGGACCTAAATGAATATCTCGATATTTTAAGATAAATCGTGATACACGATATATATCTCAATATTTTAAGATAAATCGTGATACACGATATATATATCAATATTCTAAGATACATCGTGATACACGATATATATATCAATATTTTAAGATACATCGTGATACACGATATATATCTCAATATT